CACCTCATCACACAACATCTCATCACAACCCATCACGTTGCACCTCATCACATCACACCACACTTACTCACACCACCTCACCTCATCACATCACATAACACCTCATAAAATCACATCATGCCTTATCACATGACATACTGTACTTTCTCTCACATTATTGATCTATTGGTGGAACAAGATGTACAGGTAGACTACAAACAGCCGCATTGTTGCGCTGGACATAAATGTTAGCACTTGCAAAGTGGGAAACTTGGAGTAAGCGTGGTGTCGGAGAGAGAGAAAAACATGGAATTTCAAATGGCTGTGTTGAACTTTTTGCATTTCTTTAAAACCGAAAGATACACTATCATTACAAATAAAAAGTGGCTCAGTTTTGTTGGAAAATACGCCAAGTCTCCACTACAAGTTCCAAGCAAATGTACATGTAGTTAATTTACTTTGTCTTTTGTTAAAAAAAAAAAACAAAAAAAAAAACAATTTTAAGCTTATTCAAAACGCACGTATTTTGGGCCTGTCTTGAAGTCAGCAGAAATCTGAGACGTAAAAACTGTAGGAAAGGAAAGGACTTCTACAAGATTCATGTACAACATGTACACTGTACATTGAATTGAGAAATTTTAATGACTCCTAAAGATCAAGGGCTTTTGTTCAAGACAGTGCAAGCTTTGTGCTGTACACTGTGTGTGTATGTATTCTGCCCACAGGCAGGTGCTTCCTTATAGTTCTCGATCTAAGGTGAGCCTCTTGACTGCTACGTAAGGGCTGCCATTCTTTACCCGGTCCAGCATTCCCACTCGAAGTCTCCCAGGTGGTATCTTTCCTATTTTTCTCCCCTCAATAATCAACACCGTATGTTCATGTAAAGAAAAACCGACCTGCATGTTTTATTTGGCAAAAGCTCACAGTCTCCTGACTAAGGGTCCCCACTCCCACTGCGACCTTGACAACATTGGTCATCCCGGGTGCATGAAGTATCACTTCGGTAACCACAGTCACATTGTTGACCTTTCCCGATATCATCTAGTCCCGATATCCTTGTTCTGGGCCCCACGCACTCAACGAATTACCGGAAGTGCGTTTGGAATTTCCTTCCATTTTGATTGACAAACTCAACTCATTACTTTCATTACTTGCATGGTGTCAAGCAAATTGTTATACTCACTGACGTAAGTGGCATATATCTAATTTTTAAAACAGAATATTTTCGTACTATTTGCGAGGTCCGGTCAAACATTAGAAAAGAGGCCTATATTGAGATGATTGCTGTAAATAATTGTATTGGCTTTTGCAAAGTTTTTTTCTTTGCCTTTTGGAAAATCCATAGGACATCTCGTGTATATTGTCGACCTGAAAAAAGAGACCAACCTGCATGTTTTTCCTGGCAAAAGCTGACAGTCTCCTGGCAGAGGTTCCCCAGTCCCATTGCGACCTTGACAACATTTGTCATCCATGGTGCATGAAGTATCTTGTCCGTAACCACAGTCACATTGTTCACCTTTCTCAACAACCATATTACCACAGATTGCTTCCTCAGCAGCTGTTGAAATGAATTATAAGGTTATTTGCTGCACTTTTCAATAACACACGATCTCCGAAATTTAAAAGCCTGCTTACAATTGTCTTTTTACTGCCGTCAATCATAATTATGAAACTCAGAAACACACAAAGTGGATCGAAATACAATAACAGCATTCAGAAATCACAAACCATGTCATTTTGAACTCGTTGAAGTAAGCTTCTGTTTCCTAAGAGATACGGAAAGATGATTTACGGCAGCGAAGAAGGCAAGGGTTTGTTGGCCTTTGAACTTCAGAGTTCGTGTGCAAGTAACCCTTTGACCCCTAAGAGTGACCAAACTTTTAACATTCCTTTTAGTAACACTGCTCTATCGAAAATAAAGTTCACGAGAAAATGGGAAATGATCAGCAAGTAAAAAATGTCTTGCTTGGTAAAGCAATTCTTATCACTAGAGTCATAGCAAATTAAATGCATACAAATAACTCTGGAAATATTACTTTTAAAACTGCTGTACAATTCACTGATCATCGCACACTGTACATGTATGGCAGCTGCAGTTGATCAGGTATTAAAATTAATAGCTTTAATTCAAAACATACTATAATACTATTATTATTAATCCTATTATTTGATAATAACTGCATAATAGGCCATTTGCACTAAGAGGTCATGTGACATCGTTTTTACGAAAATGAAAGTTATATGATTTTGCCTTCGAAAAACCATTAGTGGGTCATATCTTAAACAAAATAATGGTGATTTGGTTTTTCAAATCCGCACCATTTTCTTAAAATTAATAAGTTCGTAAATGGTCACGTGACCAAACTGTGATTTTTAAAACTATGAATTACCTCTCTCTGAACACAAATTTTGCACTTAAACTTCAAGGAAAATGTTGAAAAGATGATGTGATAACGTTTACAGCACATCTGAGCGTAACTATCAAACGTTGAACAAGATATAAGCAAAAAGTAGTTTTGGCCGCCATGTTGGAGGGCAAGAGCATGCCCTCCAACATGGCGGCCAATACAAATCATACTACTTTGTGGAAAAATCAAAGTCCCATGCGTTTCCTCTCAAATTTCGGGTGTAAGATAATTTTCATGTGCTCTAACAATTTTTGGCATCAGCAAGATTCCAACTCATTGTTTAAAGGAAGCATTGGTCACGTGATCTCTTAGTGCAAGTGGCCTTATCAGTCAACTCTCCTTGGTGTGCACCTTTGGGAACAGCACTAAGTTTTCCAACTCGTTAAGTCCCAATGGTGACCAACATAAATTTTCTCCTAACGATATCCATACACTTTCAAGAGATATGGTTATGAGAATTGATAAAAATAAATGATCACCAAAGTGAAATTGCATTGATCTTTTATAAAATTCTCTCAACACATTCTTTAGAGAAATGTATGGAGGTCAGTTTGGAGAATTTGTATGTGGATATTGGGGCTTAAAGGGTTAAAGCGAGAGTAAAGTCCGTCTTGTAGAGAGTCAACTAAGGGAGTAAAGAGAGCCAGAGACCACCTCTAGATGTCCGTTTTATCAAGGTGTCCATCTAATAGAGGTGCCTGTTAACCCTTTAAGTCCCAATAGTGACCAACATGAATTTCCTCCTAGCGATATCCATACATTGTCAAGAGATTAGGTTATGAGAATTAATTAAATGATCACCAAAGAGAAAATGCTTTGATCTTTTCTCAAATTCTCTCAACATATTCTTTAAAGAAATGTATAGAGATCAGTTTGGAGAATTTGCTTGTGGATTTTGGAGCTTAAAGGTTTAAGAGAGGAGTTGACCGAGAACATGCTTTGATCTTTTCTCAAATTCTCTCAACATATTCTTTAAAGAAATGTATAGAGATCAGTTTGGAGAATTTGCTTGTGGATATTGGAGCTTAAAGGGTTAAGAGAGGAGTTGACCGTAATACATTTTGAGCAAGTATGACACTGTACCTTTAAAGCAACATTTTTTATCCTGACATCTTCCCTTCACCTCCATAACAGCATTCATTTTACTCCTACTGCATGGTGAAAAACGTCTGTTGTTCGGTTTATCACCACTAGTAGCCCTGGCAAACATGATGTAGTTTCCTGCACTACCTCCAGGAGAGCAATCAGCAGTAGTGTCATGCTGTTTAAAAGTTTTAACGAATTCATTAACTCTAGTCACGCATCAATAGCAGTACAAGATCAAGTTAACGAGACTTGCACTCATTTTTCGAGTCCTATACCCTTTGTCTTTGATGCCCCATTACTGTGGCTGTAGCAAATGCACCAAAAAGTCACAAAGTATATCAACATACCTAACATTCAACATAATTTTAGAGTATGTTTTGTTTACATCACTGATTACAAGCAACAGAATAACAATGACATGAAACCTACAAATTGGGAATTTTTTCAAAATCTAGCAACAGTGTTTCAAAAAAAATCCTCACGTGCTAATTATTTAGACTGTTGTCGTGACCTTGGTAAAATTTGACCAAATCTACAAATAAGAACGTTTCTTAAATGTAATGTTCTAAATTAATGTTCTTTCACTGATGAATTTACAGTGCCAGACTTGGTTCTTTATGTTAAATGTATGACCTAAGGCAAATATTGAAGGATTTTTATGGAGTTACCAGGGCAAAACAGGGGCTAGTATCTCTGAGACAATTGGCACCCCGATATCAGATTTTGGAGTTTTTGGCTTGCAAGTGGGCCTTTAGATGTTGTTCTTTCATAATGTCCCAACAAATCCCATCATTTCCCAAATTTATTTTTTTATGACATCATTACTTTAGAACTCTATACAAACAGTATTGTCATCTCCAGCTACATGTATACCTGTATCTTGATGGTTATTCATTGCCACTACATATGATATAAAGTTCACTTCACATAATGGATCACCATCACACAAAAAGGCCAACATTCTTAAAGGAAAAACTAAAAAAACTTGCAACTTACAGGTGATCCAAAGTTATGGCCAGTTTCATGGGCAAAAGTGATCTGAGAGACTTTCTGGGCAACTTGCTTGCCATAGTTGATAAATGTAACCACTCCTGTATTAAGGTTTTTCTTTTTACCATCACTAAATGTTGTTCCTCTCTCACAAATCCCACCAGCAGCTCCACCTTAAAAATGACAAAGCAAAAAGTTTTGTGTAAATATCAATCTGTACTTTCACACAATTACTAAGTCTTTAGTTCAACGCAACTACAGTGAAAATAGTACACCAATAAAATACCAGGTGAGCTTTTTGTGCGAAAACATTTTGATAATTATCTTCACATGTGAAAATACATGTATATGTAACATGTTATCTTCACACTTGAAAAGATCAGTGTTCCTAAGGCTACATAATACAGCACAATTATGTAGAAAAAAAATAAATTATCTACATACCAGAATGAGAGGTTATGTAAAAATGACCATAAGAACAGTCAGTACTAATAAATCTTGCTCATATGTATATACTGTATTTAATTTGTAATTGTATTAATAACAATAATACAATTACATTGCAGTAGGGGTATGCATCTATGTCTCCAAAGAGGTTTCTGAATGTTGACTTATCTTATTTGCCCAAGTGTACAGAATTTTTTCATGGATTTTAGAAAATAAGAAATTGTTTCAAATTTTAGGCTAAACAGGTTGTTATACAAAGGGGGCTTAACTGGCAAATTTTAACCTAACAGGTTCTTAGTCGCGGGGTTTTCCTGTATTGTACATCTACCACCAATGTACCAGGTGAGCTTTTGCGCAAAAACATGACATCTTCTCACGTGAAAAATGACATGCTAACTTCACACATGAAAAGATCATCGTTGCTATGGCTACAAGATAAATTATTCATTTCACGGCCAAAAAATATCAAAGCAAAATGGTTTGGTATATCATTGGTGTTTACCATATTTTTTCACTTATGGGGGGCAGCTTTGTTTCAACGAAAGTTTGCTTGATAGCTCTAAATCTGTTGTAACTCCGGGGTGCGTCTGTAACTGAGTATCTTCCGACAACAAAACAAAATTGAGTCAAATTCTAGACTCTAAAAGCTGTAGCTGCTCATCCTCTTCTTTGTTATCGGTTTTCAATGACTTCTACCAATGTACATTGTCTAAAGCTGGTATTAAATGATGAATGAATCGTTTTGCATTCGAAACAAATCATCTGGCATTGATCGTTTTAAATTGAATGCTGATACTTGGTAACCAGGCAAAAATTTTGAGCACGTGCTTGACCCAAGGTTGCGGTTTGTTAACAGTCATTTCCACACTGTGATCTTGCGCTTGTTTCAGACCTTTGTTTTCCAAAGAAAGCTCCCAAATCTGTTAATAGAACTGTGAGAGCTCTTTATCACAGTTATTTTGATAAACAAGGGTTTAATTTTACCAGATTTGGCAGTTAGTTAAGAAATATTCAGGCTCATGTATCATACGATCAATCTTATCTTGATACTAATGCATGTAAAGATGTCAATATGCGGCAACCAAGACAGCTGACTTGTTTAAGGAACAGAAACAGATTCCCTAAGTATTTGCAGCTTTAGAAAACAGTGCTGTTTGTGTTGATAGATGTGATTTTCTCACCTTTGATCAAAATATGTAACCTTTTTCGCTTTTGTTCACATAGGTGCAATTTAACGAGAATGGCTGTAATCAACATCATTGGAAAGCGTGTTGTTGTAGTTAGTGTGAACATCACCAAAAATCGTGGTTGTGCCTTATAGGCGAGTATTATGGCTTGATTTTCAGTTTGTCAACTTAGAAAAATTGCATTGAAAAGTTTGGGGCGCGTCTTATAAATGAAAAAAATATGGTGTATCAGGGGTTTCAATAAGCACTGACAGCTGACGAAACGTGTTGGCTACTTTACTCATATGAGGTCGGCTACTTTTTTCTAGAAAGAAGAAGCAACTTGTTTGAAAAACGTTGTAAACAAAAAAATACATCATAAAAATTATCTGAATAAAAACGTTTAATAATAATAAATCATGATGTGTTTCTTCATAGGTTTACACAGAATTACTTGTTTACGTGCAAAAGTACGTAATTTAGTTTTCATCAATTGTTTTACTTTATTGCTAGTAGGAATTGATTGTGTGACTGATAAATAAATTGAAAGCTACATTTTCTTGAATGAAAAACACGCTCTTTTGTCCTCAAATTTATTCCACAGAACGCTGAAAATCGCATTTAAGGGCTTTGAAATTTCAAAATTTTCTGGGCTAGAACGTGCCCAGACCCCCTCCCCCCTAGAAAAGGGGGACCAAGGTTATCATTACATCCCATCGATCTTAGCCCTTTCGGACACCTCATGAAATTTACACAACGTAGTTTTCCCCTTTACTAATTAGGGTTAAGCTCTGCCTTTACTGATTAGGGTTAGGCATTGCTTTTACTGATTAGGGTTAAGCATTGCCTTTACTGATTGTGGTTAAGCATTGCCTTTACAGTTTGGTGTTCAGCACTATTTCGAAATAGGTTAGGTTTTTTTTTGGATTGGGGTTGATGTAATATGTACTTCAATTATTTCCCCGTCTCCAACAAAAGCGTGGTGTACTTGTACTTCTTGTTGTGGGTTTGAATCCTGCTGCCTATCATTACAAATTTTTTTTTTCTTTCAAATTGAAGAGACTTGCACTTTCATGAACATTTCCAGCTTGAAATATAATCTAAGTGTGGTATAAAAGCAGAAAACAGTTCTTCCTTGTGTAAATTTCATAAGGGGAGAAAGGGGCTACGGCTGATGGGATCTAATGCTGACCAGGGACCAATGGCCCCTTGTTGATGCAGTTGGTTAATCTATTCAAAGCTGCTGGCTACTTCAGTTTTTATTAAAACCCCTGGTATATAATAAATAGAAAATTACATGGTCGCTTGGAGATACAGTGTACATGTACGAGATTTCTGTTCTCATGTTCAAAGATATTTCACTTGTTCGTAGTGCTCAATTGTGAAATATTTTTCAACAATTGAAGAGAAATTTCACATCTCCACATGGTCATCCATTATTCTCTACATGTATGTATGGTATGTATGAGTATTACCATTATAATGAATTTTTATGTCAACCACTAATATTTGTCGAGCAGCGCATGCTGAGACAGATGACACAGTCAGTACACATGTTGAAGTCTCAAAGAAAGCATCATCATGGTCATCATCATCATTATTATTGTTACAAATTTCAAATGATAATTTTGATTACCTGTTTCACCCACCCAAGCAAGTCCTAGGACACCATCAGCAAAGTCTCTATAAGTGAAGACATAGGCGAGGCACACATCATCATGTGTTTCTTCAGAATTTAACTCAAGTAACTTCTCAACACCAATGTTTTCATCTCTGTAAGGGTTTTTTGTGTCTTTAAGATCTTCACTGTCGTTGGCACGCATTCTCTGGATTTGAAACTGAATTCCTGAAAGAAATTAAAAAGCAACAGACAGGATGCAACAAATCTAAGCTGACATCAACAATGATTTATTTATCTTTTGAGCTGTGAATTATTGAGTGACTACAATCTTATAGATCATAAAAATAACTTACAGTATAAAAAATTACTCAAACTCAACAGGAACCAAGAGCTGATGGCTGTACATGTACATGATAATCACTCTAAACTTAATTTCAACATTATTTTTATCTTTATCAATCAAGGTACATTGTTGTTGATTAATATATGTACAGTAGTTATAATCAAGTTGAAATTAAACTGAATGCATAAATTTCAAGTCTCCTGGAAATCTTGCATGAAAATAATTTAATATCAGTAAATCATTGCACCAGTTCCCGATCCATAATTTGTCCATACCCCCATTAATAAAGCACATAAAAATTTCTGACAGTTACTTTAAGATGTTGAACTGTACAAACTTACTGACAGAACATACACATACTTTTGACATGAGGACATAAAGTACACGAATGACGCTTGCAATAAAGTGCCAGTTTATGAACAAAATGTTCATTTTCCATTTGGAAAAATTGTTATTCAAAATGGTTGGAAAAGTAAATTTCTGTTTTGCAGCAGAACAGTATATTCCATCTGGATACACTTCAGAGCCTTTCCATGGACAGCTACTGTGTAATAAGTAAGAGCTTTCATACCCTCGGGTTTGCTTGCATCAGCAAATCCTGTATTCTTGTAGATGGCATTAGCAGCTTTCACATGATTCGTCATCAGCAACAAAGCTCTCTCCTTGTTACCATCTGCCATGTTTGCTGTAAACAGATGATCAGCCTAAAAACCAAACAAAAGACTGTAAATTACTTAATTAATTTATTACAAACTACACATCACCATTATGATAATACTGCTGCGAGCCCCCAGGCCAGCAGCACACAAATCTTTTGGTTACCTGTGGTTCCTTAGGTGTCCTGTTGCTATTTAGGGATTACAATTTGGATTTATGTTTGTCAGGATGATTGTTAGCGAGTATGTTCAGCAGTGTAATCATAACTTAATTTTAATCTGTAACAGTCTCTTACTGAGTTAATCTCATATCATTGTAACAAATGCAAACAGTTTCAAATTACAGTATTTTTGTATGACTGTAAGCTGGCCAAATAAAAAGACCTTGTGACTGCAGGACTCCCATGTGGTTCTTTATTTCACAACTAATAAATTTATAGCAGAGCCTCCATTGCTATGGAAAATGGAAATCTATCAATGCAAGAAAATTTTGTTATGATGTCAGCATACACATACATGCACATGCACATATATATGTATGTATGTACGGACTCGCAGGGAGGTACTAAGTAGACTCTGCTGGGGTGCAGACAGGGAATCCAAGATAAGCAGCTTGCATTTGTCTTGGCAAAACATTAACCAGTTCACCTAGAGGCAACCAATGGAGTTTTTCCAGTAAAGATATTGAATTTCGTTTGTTTGACATATGAGAAAAAACTTTGAAAAATGCAGTTTAAAGGATGTGCTTTTAGCTTAGTCATGCTTTCCAAAAAATTCACATCAAGAGCCATAATGGCTCTTGTTTACACATACAGTGTAACTGTTCCATTCTGGGTCCAATAGAAGAGAACAATCATAGGTCTTTCCTACAAGTATTTAATAAGTGAGCCTTAGCAATGACAATGGCAATGAGATGTCAAAAAAGCAATAGGTTAGAAAAACAACAACTTTGTATGTGCATTATGCTTTTTTGTACCTTAATTTCTTTGTTGTCACTGCACGACTTCAACGTTAAAATGCCTAATTGCATGTTTAATGGTGGACATAAACAACGGACAACAAAATAATTTTCTTTCTCTTTGTAAACTTCAGTGCAGTCCCCAAGAAATCAACTCCTGGAAAATTTGCCTACATTTGACACTTTCAGCGATCAACAAAGTAAGACAAAACGTGTATTCATTTTAAAAGTGATGTTTTGGCTGCCGTCACTGTCCTCTTTACTACAGCTCCATATTGACTCTAGAAATTGTAACCTGCAAATTGGCTGCTGCCACGGAGTATCATGCACTAAAATGATATTTTTTGCTGTAAACATAAGACTTTTAGGGATGATGGGAGAGTTTTCAGAGTTTTCAGTCCAGGTCTTTTTGTGGGATTTTCTTAATCATCAGCTCCTCCCTCACAAGGTGGATTTTTTTTAGTGGCTTAGAGTTAATTATTATATTTAAGTTAATTGCTTATACTAAGAGTAAATAAACAGAGGCTTCGCTTGTAGCCCTGGCTAAATCGATATAGTACACATGTGAATAATGCCATTTTTCTTTATCTTTATTTTTCCAGGAAGCCATTTTTTGCCTTTGCAAACATCTGTTTCTCCTCACTCTTCGCCGCTGGGGATGTTTCACACAGAGGAACATCTGCAACTCAGTGACAGAAATTCCATACTGATTACGTAAAATCTGTGCAGAATTCAGTCAGAAGCGCTGATTGGTTGACGGAGTAGTTACATTGTTTTAGCTATTGTTTACAAATGACAGACTAAAGACAAAAAGCCACAAAGGTCAAATGTAAATGAGAAGAATCTCTCACAAAACAGTCAATACTTGTGGAATATACAGTAGTAGTGGTATTCTCTAGAAGAAGCATTTGAGTTTTGCTGGAGCTCGTTGGCAGATGAGCACAACACTTTACCAAAATCGACCAGAAGACACGTAAAATTAGACACATTTATATTTGGAACTCCATGACTACTGGATTTATTATGTAAACATTGATTTGCGTCATCATTTATGGAATTTCTGTCGCTGAGTCGCAGATGTTTCTCCGCGCAAAAAGTCCCCAGAGGTGAAGAGCAAGGAGAAACCGATGTTTTTGCAGGCTAAGCCTGGCATTTCAGGAAGTGAAACTATCATGTCTAAGACCTTGAATAATTAATAACCAAATAAATCAAAACTGCCATTGATCAGGCTCAAAACAAAACCCTAATAGTATGGTTTTATAGCAGGAAACAAAGGTGTGATCCAAACAGCATAGACATCACATCAACTCACATTCATCTTTAAAGTACAAGACAATTTGTCTGCATCAATGGATCCAACTGCTCTACGATATCTCAATTTAAATGGCTCAAAATGGGTGACATGTTCATCTTCAACAACTTTTCCTTTCACTGCAGATCTGAAGAAAGCAACATTAAACAATGACAAAGATCAATTAATTTTTCAACCAAACGTGTAAATATATATACACATACCATGAGGTATGTCAGTTAATGATACCATTAATGTACTGAGGGCTTAGTTCATTTAGGCATCCTGGCATACACAAAATTCCATTGAGAAGTACAGTATAAATGTTTCAATATTTAAATCTTTGAACCAAGCTTTAATACATGCACATTCACAGCATGTACATGTAAAGCCTGGTTTCCATATGATCGTCCGGATTGTTCGGATCGTCCCAGTCGTCTCCAAAAATGTTCGGACGATCGGGACGATCATATGGAAACGCTACCCAGATGATCGCAAACGACACGGACGACTGAGACGACCTCGATCGCTTGGATAGAGTTGAGTTCTATCTGGACGATCGGGACGATCATGTAAATTTTGAAGCGCTCATATGGAAACGCTCTCAGACGACTGAGACAATCGGGACGATCAAAGGCTGATCCCAGAAGTCATCACTTTTATTCCAGTAATCGAGAATAAATTCGGCCCGGATGGTGCTGAAGCCAAAAAAATAATACATGGGGGTTATTTGAAATTAGAGAAAGTCCATGACATCAAGTTTTCAAAGAGATACTATGTCTTCGGGGAACTCTTCTAGCTTCTCAATGCTGCAAAATCAAGAGAAAAAGCAGATACCAAGGTACGAGGTTCGCTTTATGAATAAAAATCATCCATTTATGAGGCTTGTTTGCAAAACAAGCACAAAAACTCTATTGTCTGACCCAGAGACATTGCTGACGACCCCGCGTCTCTTGCCTTTGAGGCGATCGAGACGATCATATGGAAACTACCAATGGCCCCAGTTGTCCGGATTGTCTTGAAATATTTTGAAACGACTGGGGCGATCGGGACGATCCAGACGATCATATGGAAACCAGGCTTAAGATCAACCAGTGTGTCACACAGCAGGCTTTATGTTATCAGTCAGACCAAAATGATAAAGAAAACAGCTGGTAATTTGAGATGCCACTGCTGGTTTCCCTGCAAAATAAAGTCTGTGAAATGGGCACACAAAATCCATACTGATTTGCCACTTAGTTATACAAATGTACATGACTAATTTGTGCACCTAGATCGGGGTAGTATTTTAATGATTGGTCACACCACAAGGGAAATTTGCTTTAACCAATCAGAAGCACTTCCCAGATCTGGGCAGTGACATGTAATCAGTATGGAATTTCTGTGCTCATTCCTCAGACATGACATTCCACAGTGACTGCATCGCAAAATGTCAGCTGTTAACATGTAAATGTGCATGTACTCAGGATAACAATGATACAATGAGCAACATTTACATGTAAACATCTCATTCTGTCTGTAAACATAAAATAATATTATAATTACAGTGCTGTGCTCTGAAAAAACCTTCTGGTTAGAGTTCTAAGAAAAGGATATGTGAGGAAGTGCGCTTAGCATGTATTTTAAGGGTCAACATTATTAATTTTAACACTGTATGTTATTTTAATGAAACTGATAGATACCTTTTAACTTCATCCATCCATCTTTTAGATTTATCGTTGATCCCACAGCCAGGGCCATATGCATGTGGATAATGAACACCTCTGCTCTCATAGATCACTGAGTGAAAGTCTTGAGGTGCATCTTTGAAATACTGTTTTGCAGACTCCACAAAATACTCATCATTTCCTACATGAATTTTGCCTTCAAACACTCCATCATCGGATATAAAACCATGTACTAGAGAATTTTTATGACCTAAAATATGAACAAGTAAAATAAATGAGAAAGGTAGTGTAGTGTATGATAATAGATTGCATGGCAACTTTTTTTGTTAACAGTAAGTCTTAAAACATTGATCGGATAAGTACATTATTTTATGTACATTGTACATGGATTGCATATGTTACAGGTCAAATTTAAATTCAGGTTAAAATTTTTTAACCTAGGTTGATTCTCAATTTTCTTTGTCTACCAGGATAATTAGGGTTATTAATCATTATTCTTGAATAATCAGGTCTCATAGACAATGGAAATTGATAATCTACCAAGGTTAAAAAATTTTAAGAAAGTTTTACATATCAGTTGTAAAAGGCAGTTAATGGAGCGTGACACCTTCAATCAGCAACATGTAATGCAGTGTTATGCTATAGTCCTTATCAAATCTTGTAGAATTTTTACAATTTTATAAGGGGGTAAAAGTACTGGGTAGTACGTAAAACCACTTCTATAGCTGGAAATTACTGATACAATAGCAATCCTTGTTTTTGTTGCAGCTGGGGCTGGTTTCTAACGTATCGCTCGTTTTGTATGGCTAGTAAAAAATAATTTTCCTCATACATGTCTTGTGGAGCACTTTAGTTGCACGTTCTATTCAGTAGTACAGTATTTTTTATTGGCTTACGTTGGGACAGTACTCAGACTATAAAAGGCCTAGTAAAAGTCCTGTGACTCATTGCCAGCTGTATTCCTAAGTTGGTATACTTCAACCACCCTAAAGTTTTGTAATTCCCACCCGTCCCTCAGGGTTTTCATTTGAGGCCGGAGGCCGGACGTTTCGTCCGGTCGTTTGCCATTCCACGTCCGGTACTTTGAGATCAATATTGGTGATTTTTTTTTACTACTGTATTATATATTTTTCTTACTAAGGCATCTCATGAACATACTGACTAGAGGATAACAGAATAATCAATTACATTCTTCAAAACGGCCATATAACTCTTTTTTCTTTGCTTACTGAGCGGCGGGATATTTTATTGGTTTCCCCTCTTCATTTAAACGGAATTGTTACCAAACATCTTTTTTGAAAATCAAATAAATTCGCAATGATAAGCCAATGAAAATTCTGTTGTTGCCATTCTCCCTCCCCCTCCCCCTACCAACTGACCATTTTCATTCAGTAATTTACTTTTTAAAGAAAATTTTAGTGAGCGCCAGCATTGCCTAGGAAACTGTTTCCTTGGTTCCAGAAACGCTGGAAATGGCGTTTCTGAGTATTCTATTTTAAAAATTTCCTGGGGGAGCATGCCCCCAGACCCCCCTAGGTGCTTGCGCCTTCGGCGCTCGCGACGCGCCTTACGGCGCCAAGAAAAAATTCACGTCCGGTGCTTTCAGAAGTATGTCCGCTACTTTACAAAACAGTTGAAAACCCTGGTCCCTCCCTTTGGAGGCTTTGTTGTTATTCCTAATAAACACGGGCTCACCACGTTCTTTCGCCTTCAGTTTAAGTCTCACGGCCACTTCCTCAAGCTTTGATTTTAACGCAAACTTTTATATTTTGATTGTATCCCAGCACGTGCTGGCAGAGTCGGCTCATAGTCCTGATAAGATAAACTTCCTAGAACAAAATATTTGCCTACACCATTCCATTAAGTTGCACGATGCTGCCAGGAGGTTTCAGCTCGTAGTGCCATGGAGTGTTAGGCCGTATTAAGTTTGCTTCTTTTGGACTTACCTGAAGTTGTCCAATCTGGTGCGTGTAAATTAGCGCGTAAATTAACGCTAAATTAGCGCGTGTAAATTAGCGTGTAGGCCATTATGGTCAGGCTATGGAAGTCGTCCACCACACTGATTGCGGAGCGGTGTTTCCCCTATTATGCCATACGTTTGTTGTCTTGTTTTATTACACTTTTGAAGCCTAGCTAAAGGAACTGCGACATTAATAATAACTTGAATTTTATTTTAACCTGTAACATATATAATTAATGCTCAAAATAAGATAACCAGCATACTCTACCTTCTACATGCCCTTCTACAACTTTTGCAGGATCAAATTCAGAGTTTTCTGCACGAAAGTTGTCAGTAAAAATTTGTAGATCCCTTCTGAGGCGAATTTTAAATTCTCTACAAAAAAAAGTAAGAAACACTCATCAGTTAAATCTGAAAAACCTGAAAGCATTTCTCTCGTCATAAATATTATTTTTCTTTTATTTGCCTCTACTTTTCATTTTGTTCTTCTTTAATTTTGCCTTTTTTTGCCCAACTATGCTTAAAACAATTTATTATCTACAACATTATAAATGTTTAATTTTTAGTAGCTCTACCATTGATTTTACTTGTATACTACTGTTAATACTTTGCTGTAATAATATACTTTTTAAATAATGTTTTTTTAATAATTTATTGAGGGTGCCTGTTACTTATAAGCCCAGGGGTTTCTCATGGGCTTCCTTGCTGTTCACTTTTAATATTTTAAGATCAGTCTCATCTTGTTAGGTGCTATCCTTAAAAATGCCCAATCCAAAATGAAACTTTTGCAACAAGAAGTGTCACATGATCTTTGCTTTCAATCTTCGAAGCACAAACCACTTACAGTACATGGAGGTAATGCATGGAGATATAATGTATTATCATACTTTATCATTTAATCAAAATATTCTGCTGTTTACGATTAGTTTAAATTCACTGGCTAATTCTTCACTTGTCAACTGGCCATATCTAGCATTGATCAAAATATGATGGAAGAAGTCCCCCCCGACCAATGTTCCCCAAAATACCCTGAGGGGAGTGGATAATAAGATAATTATTACAATATTACAATCAAGATGTTTGCTGATATCAATGACTGCAGTGATGTAAACAGAAAATGAGAGAAGTGGCAAGGTGGTGCAGCTGTTTTGGCAAGCCAGAAGTCAACAAAATGGTAGAAGATTTCAAAAATCATGCCAACACTAAAGAGCCAAACTACTCTTTCTACATGTACTATGAGCATGAACCCCGGCTAGTATTGTAGGAAATAGAAGCAAAATAGACCCAAAAACACTTCCCAGCTGTTAAATTACTAGCTTACTATATGCAGGGCTTCTGATATTTTTCGTGGTCATGAAATTCAGGTAAATCCGCGAAATCTCGCGAAATTCACAAAAACATGCAAAGTACCACAAAATTCAGTAGAAATCTTATCAAATACATGTCTATACAGCAATTTTGAAACTTGTCTCAGCTACTGGGGGTATTTACTTGCTGTAAACTCGCAAATTTATGTCAAAACTTTGTCACTGAAATGTGGAAACAACGTCCGAAACTAGCCCAGGCGTAGATTATGTTGCGATAAAACTGGGCACTAGCCATGATGTTAAAGGTTTTGCCATTGGTTCATTTCTAGAGTGTATTGTTGTTGAAAGAGCAAATGATGACCTCTGTTAGAAAAACATTAAAAACACTGGTCTGATCAGCGCAAACCGGATCGATTTCTTGCGAAATTTGCCCTGAAAATAACCACAAAATACCATGTTTTTTTACCGATTGCTTTCCGGCCAAGTTTGCCCTTAAAATTCCCGCGAAATTCCCACGAAATCGGCCGATTTTTCTGCGATTTTGTTCCCAAAAATCCCGTGAAATTTGACTTTTTTTCTGCGAATTATCAGAAGCCATGTATATGTATACCCAGCAACTTGAAATTTTAGTGATTGCCATGATGATAGATATCCCTTCACACATTGGAAGCTCTCAAATGGACACTCTCGTACCTTCACAAAACCCCATTTTTCTCAACTGGCATACAAATTTTGTAGTTTTACATTTTTGTGAGTGGCAAGCCCCAGTTATGGACACCCTTTTTGCATCCCAAGGGTGTTCACTTACAGGAGCTTCCACTGTATCTTTAACTGCAAAGGATCAGGCAAACGCTTTGACGACAGGATTTTTACAGACAGACAGCGTGCAAAGATAGTTGTGTCCGATAGCCTGGGATAGCCAGGGGTTGTGGATTTTGCAATTGGGCTAGTGAATCCTGTTCTTAACTTGCCCAAAGGGCAAGTGAAGTTTTTTGGGAAATTCAAATTACAGAAGAATTGTAATCAATGCTGCTCATCAAAATTTTTCTGGGCTACTTAAAAGACTCTTGGGCTGGTACATAATAGCAACAACTTTCCCGGTTGGGAAGCCATAAAACTAACTTTCTTTGCACCCTAACAGATGAGCATGTTTTGAACTAGAAAATGTTTTGAATGAAAACTAAAACAGTCATTTGATTCAGCTTTCACATGATATGTGAAACTTTCGCACGTACATGTATATTACAACCTAATAAATACGTGTTGCATACAAACCAAGAACCACTTTACAATGACTGCTTACTAATGTCAAGGACAAAGACAAACCAGAGGACAGACAGGGAGCAGGCCAGGCTTCTTACATTGGTGAAACCAGCGGAAACCTAAGCATGTGACTGACCAAACACAAACGAGCGACCAGGAATAGTGATGTCAACAATCACATTGCTGAGCACCATTTACAGATGAAACATCAATGACTGGGACTCTGTGACATGTATAACTTATTCTATAGACTACTATCAACATCTTACTTTAGAAAGCTGGTTTATTAACTTAGAACAAATGCCACTGAATCATAGCCAACAGTTACCAGCACTATACAGCAACTTATTGATGAGATCAAGCAAGACTAACTACGAGAGAACAACTGGAGAACTGACAATTTGACTAACAATAGACCACTGTTCACTGTGACGGTAGACGGATCAAAATGCACCAATTACTGATTACAAGCCAATAACATCATGGCTTAACTGATAGACAACCAATAACATCGCAACATAATAGATCAATCAGATCCATAACCAGAGTAAAATACCATCAACCGACGTGATACAACTCACTTTGACTCTGAAGATGATTACCGTGCAGGTTGTCGAAACGTCAGTCACTGTCAACAACAACAGTCCTATTCAGGACTACATTCACCCGGACGATCAAACTCAACCTACTTTTGATATGAAGAATATTAATAATTAATTATTATACAAATCTTAGAGAGAGTTACTTAATGGCCTACGTGATCTGCCTAATTCTACATATTATACAAAAGCTGAATCTAATGATTGCTTAATGTGTACTGGATGGTAAATTTATAAATATTACATTATCAGTAGGTGATGTATGGAGAAATATCACATTATTCAATCAAAACATTAACTCCATAGGAAACACCAAGCTGTTTAAAAATATTTTAACATTCATGCCATATTTTCTCTTTATATGAAACAAACTATTGTAAAACACAAAAGAATAGATAATTATTCCTTCAAATGTAAGAAGCAGCCAGGAGAGAAGTTCACAATGAACTTGTTTAATAGGATAGCAGACTTCAATAAATAAATTCATAGATAGAAAACAATAACTACATGCCCACGAAAACTCTACATAGTTTAAGAAGTTTATCTAGAAAATAATTATTGTTTTTTTTGGAAGTGTTTAAAGAATGCAGATTTAAGCTTATGTAGAGCTCTTTGACAACAACAATATATAAACATACAGTATCTAGCTTTCATATCTAGACAATGCAAGGCTATTCTCTCAAGTCCTTCTCGTTCTAATAAGCAACATTTTCATTCAACGCTCATGAAAAGCAAAGAATGGTAATATTCTTTTTCAAATGGAACAAAAAACTAGATACAGTGTATATCAAGGAGTGATTCAAACGGGGAACATAATAGAGCAGATTAAGTAAAGTTCGAGCGGAAGCAAATCGGTTCTAAAACCAAGATAAGATTTCTCGCTAAATTAAGTTTGAAAGTAGCAAATATTCAGCTTGGTAAAATGTTATAACACGTTACCTTTGCGAAGTTTTTAAATTCAATTGAACAACATGATCGCTGTTTGGACTTGAACGCCTCACGCGATGGTGTTGATCAAGAATCGGAGCTCTGTCATAGTTTAATGTCTCGTAGTGGTTTATATAATCACCCAAAGGTCGTCCTGTGAAATTAAAATAATGATGTTATCTTTC